TCTCTCTCTCTCTCTCTCTCTCTCTCTCTTTTTAAAGATTGCTTTTTTTAAAAAAAAATCTGTATGAGTGTTTGGCTTGCTGGGCATTTCTGTGTACCACATGCATGCAGTGCCTGTGGAGACCAGAAGAGGGCACCAGATCCCCTGGGGCTGGAGTTACATATGGATGTGAGCTGCCCTGTGGGTGCTGGGAATCAAACTCAGGTCATCTGGAAGAGCAGCCAGTGCTCTTAATGGCTGAGTCTTCTCTCCATTCCCAGGTATATAGTTCTGAAGTGACACTTGTAGATTCATCAGCAAGCTGTCTTGTGATGGGTATGGCTTCTCAGGAAAAAGATGTTTTGACTGATACTTTAGAAAGCCAGAAGAGAGTGTTAGCTGTTGATTATGGAAATGTATTTTGTGTTGGTGCGAGAGTTCCATCTCCAAAAGACTATAGAATTAGCAGCTTGATTCACACCTTTTCTTACAGAGAGGCTGATGTTTGCCATTACAAATTACTTCATAAGTTTTGTTAGTTTGACATATTGTCTTGGAGGTATGCCATTTGAAGATCTCAAAATTAAATAAATTGAAATCACTCTTTTCTTTGAAAGCCTGAGCAAAAAAAAAGTAAGCAAATGCTGAAAGTGCAGCCGTATTTAGGTAGAAATAAACTCAGTGTTAAAGGATTCTGATAAATCACTGTGAATTGGCTTGGCTCCTAACAGTTCGTTTTAAAATATCCCAGGTCTTACAGAGGTTTTCATAGAACACCAAGAGGCCCGCCTACCTGCACAGCAGCCATGCTCAGAGTGTGACTCCTGATAAGGTTCAGAACTAGGCTCAGGATAGACATGTTAAAACCTTATTTTTTCTTCCCTCCCTCACGCCTCCCACACTTACACAGAGACCCCACAAAAGCAACTCCTTGGCAAGCCCTGCCAAGTTACAGAGGTCCCAAGCTTATAAAGGTGAGTAACCAGGCAAACTCGGTGTGCTCTGCCCAGGCATATTTACCGAACTCCATAAAGGGATCCCTGGCAGTGAATAGCTCCTGCTGATAGTACTTAGGGAGCAGTGGATCCAGAAAACACTCTTGTGATTTTCAGCACTACCATAAATATGGAATAATTACTAAAGCCACTGAACAGTGGTGGCCTGTAACACGGATTGCTAAATGTCTTATTAATAAAAAAAAAAACAAAACCCGGAGCCAGATATTGGTGTGAAAGTGGAAAGATCAGAGGGATAGAACAAGCCAGCCACAAGTTCTTACTGCTAGGAAATCCTCAGCCTGAGAGAGAGCTACTTCCTGTATACTTACATCTATATACCTTTCTGTGCCCTGCCATCTTACTTCCTCTCTCCACCCAGCTCTATCACTTCCTATCTGTCTGTACAGACCTCCAGACCTCTATGGTTACCCATTGCTCAGATTAAAGGCGTGTGCCACCACGCTTGGCTCTGTTCCCAGTGTGGCCTTGAACTCACAGAGATCTGCTTCCCAAATGCTAGGATTAAAGGCGTGTGCTACCACTGCCTGACCTCTATATAGTGGCTGGCTTTGTCATTTGATCGATCCCCAGGCAAGCTTTATTTGTTAGAGCACAAATATCACCACAGTGGCCGCTGGCCACTCTCAAGGAGTGAACTTGGACATTCTTGTGTTAGTTTTTTTTGTGGTACAAACATTGCTCCACTCATGTGGCCATCAGATATGAACCATTTCCCCTTAGTAGACATGAAAGGACCCTGAGCCCCTTACCATTTGCCATTAACCCACCTGTGATGGCTAGTGTTGTCAATTTGACAGAATCTAGAATGACCTGGGAGACAGGCCTCTGGACATGCCTTTGGGAGACGATCTTGTGTTAATAGAAATGGGAGGACTGGCCCGTCATGGTGGCACCATTTCCTGGCTGAGAATCTAGACAGTATAAATGGAGAAAAGGAACAGGACATGAGAAGAGTATGCACTCATCACTCCCTGCTTCCTGGTGCTGGACACAATGTGTTCCCTGCTTCAAGTTCCCACTGCCTTCAGTTCCCCATCAGGACAGAGTGAACTGTGGACCAGAACCAACTCTTTCCAGAGTCTTTTATTCCAGCAACAGAGGAAGGGGCTAAGATGCCTTCTTTGATAGCCTAGTGTATTTAGTTACTTTCCTGTTGCTGTGACCAAATGCATGACACATGTAATGGAAGGAAGGGAGGGAGGGAGGGAGGGAGGGTTTATTTGCTCTCAGAGTCCACCATGGTGGCAGTAGGTGTGGCCGGTGACTGGGCATGTTGTGTCCACTGTCTGAAGCAGAAAGAGATGAATGCTGATGCACCACATGCATCCATTTGTTTTCAGCCAGGGCCCAGGCTACAGGATGGTGCCACCTGTAGGAGTCTGAGGGAGTCCGGCTCCTACCTTTCCCACCTTTTCTAGGGTTCTGAGGAGGAGAAGGAGGAGGAATAAGAAAATATTAGATAGAAAGAGAGGCTGGGCAGTGGTGGTGCACGCCTTTAATCCCAGCACTCGGGAGGCAGAGGCAGGCGGATCTCTGTGAGTTCGAGGCCACCCTGAACTATAGAGTGAGTTCCAGGAAAGGCTTCAAAGCTACACAGAGAAACCCTGTCAAAAAGAAAGAAAGAAAGAAAGAGAGAGAGAGAGAGAGAGAGAGAGAGAGAGAGAGAGAGAGAGAAAGAAAGAAAGAGAGAGACCTAGCCGACGAGAAGAAAGACAGAAACACAGGAAAGCTTCGGGAGGGACTGGATCACTACCCAACGGCCTCTTCATTTATTCCTTTTTTTATAACATGCCAAGGGGAGAGGCAAAAGCCCTCCCCCTTGCTAGATCAAAGCACACTGCACAGCCAAGTGTAGACCCTTCCAAACACCTGGTAACCATGCCCATGACCAAATCATCTCCTTATGCAGCCCTGCTGGGTAAAGCAAGCTCAGATTCTCTTGCCCTGGGTAAGATCTCACCAGGAAACCTCCGTGGGCTCCCACAGCTACCCACATTCAGAGTCGGTCTTCCTCCCTCCCTTCTGCCTTCCTGGAAACCCATCCCAGAAACACCCAGAGGTGTGTATTCTAGATGATCCTAAATGCTGTCTCGTTGACAGTGAAGCCCAGCCACGGCCACACCTGCAGTGAAAGCTCCGATTCCGGTTCCAGCCACAGGCTGACAGTGTAACAGGTCCTTGGCTCCTGCCTTTAACGCCGGAAGACTTCCCAAGCTCATAAGGACAGTGTGAGACAGAAGAGAACTTCGGATGTCTGCACCGCTGTCATGACCAGGCACACTGCTGTGTCTTCCACTGCACCCTGGTTTTCAGAATTGAACGCAAGGCCTCGTGGACTGGGCAGATGCTCCCCCGTGAAGCTGCATCCCTCTTTGCTCTGGTTATCTGGATACACAGTGTCACTCAGTTGTTCAGGTTGGACTTAAACTCACATACAGCCCAGGCAAGTCTTGAATTTGCTACCCCGACTCGGGCTGCACAATGCCTCGCTTCTGCTGTCCATCATAGAGACATCATTGTGGTTTGTAACCAGCTGTCCATCCTCCAAGTTCCTAAACGTCTCTGTAGGATGCCAGCCAGGACTCCTTATGCTGTTTGTGTTCCAGCAACGAAATCTTAGAACTCTTCCATGGACACTATCGCTGTCTCTCCTCTCAATCTCAACCACCACCCCCTTTTTTTCTTTACAAAAATGTTTCATTTCTGTGTTCGCTTCCAGGGACATTCTAGCAGGGAGTCGCACATAGATGGAGTGTCTGGGTAAACCGGGAATTCTGCCTCCTGTGGCTGTTTCTCATTTATTCTTTTCATTTTGTTTTGTGTGTATGTGTGGTTTATATACATGTGTGTGTACATGTGTGTGCACATGGTGCATAGACCAGATGTTGACATCGGTTGTCTTACACAGTTGTTCTGCGCCTTGTTGTTTCAGGCAGGCTCTCTGAGCCCGGAGCTTACCTATTTACTTAAACTGGCTGGTGGGCGAGCTCCAGAGATCTGCCCGGCCCCCACCTCTAGCACGAGGGTTACAGATGTACTGCATGTCACTGTGTCCATTTTACATTCGTGCTGGCTTCCACACGTAGGTCCTCATGATTATGCCGCAGGCACTTTAACAACAGCTGAGCCTCTCCCAGCCTCCGTCTCCCATTTCCCATTTATTCTTAGACCAGAGAATTTCCAGTCTCTCTGGTGTGTAATCTGCTTCGGCCAAGACTTAGATAAACACTTCAGCAGTCAAACTTGCCATTCCTATTTTAAGGATCTGGGTATATTTTTAAAAGCTTTGTTTGACTCTAGAAAGACAAGAATGGAGCACAAAGACTATTGATTATGTTCCTGAACTCCCTGTCCGTGCTGTCAAAGAAAACAGAGTCGGACGCCTGTTGCTCCTGCAGGTGGGCTTTTCTGAACCGTCCATCCCACACAGCTGCAGGCTTCGAATGTCCAGTGACCTCATGCCAATCAGTAGATCACAGAGCCAGGCAGAATCCAAGAGCATGAAGTTTCCCACTCTGAAATGTATGTTAGCTCCAGATAGCAATTCTCAAATTTTTAAATTATAAGGAACAGTAAGGATGGGTCTATCTAAAAATTCCAAACACAGTGGTTTCTGATTTATAAAAATCTCTTCTGTTTTGTGCTCCCAAACAGATGCCCAGAGGTTGTCATCCTGGGCTAATGGTGCCTTTCCTCCCTCGTCTCGGAGAATCCTGGGGACACAGCCTAGAGAAAGTCCTTCTGAGCAGTCCCCAGGCCTACGGGCTTTTGCTTACTTTTGTGCTGGATTTCTTGAGTCCCAGCGTCAGAGCCCTTCCCAAAGCATGGCCATGAAGACTCATGTCTGCAGACACCGCTGGCCTTCCATGCAGGCTTTTCTAGCCTGAGCCGGGGAGTGTGCAGGAGAGCAGGATACGCCTAATAACAGCTTTCCTTCTTGTCTTGTCCTGGCGGCCGCTCTGCTCTCCTACATCCACAAGAATGCCTTTCTCTGTTGTTTTGACTGAACACTAAGGGCTCTTGGCCCCTTCATCCCAAGCTACTACAACAAAATTGCATAGACCGGGCAATGTAATCAGCAGCCGTTTGTCTCCTGGAAGCTGCAAGTCCAACCTCAGGGCTTGACTGTTGGCTTCTGATGAGGGCTCTCTCCAGGTTCGGAGACATTCACCACGGGAGCTGGGTCTTCACCTGCCTTTTCCTCAGTGTGTACAGTCCATAGAGAGAAGGAAGTGGGGGGGGGGGGTCAGAGAGAAGGTACACATGCATGCCAGCCCTCTGGTCTCTAGTCTTGTTGAGCGTGCATGTGTGTGTACATTCCTGTGTGCATGCATTCGTGTGCATGCAAGTGTGTTGTATGGTATCCCTTCTTATAACAACACTAAACCTATCGGATCAGGGCCCTACCCTTATGACTTCGTCTAACCTTAATTCCTTGAAGGGCTTATCTTTCGACATATCTAGACTGAGGATTTAAATTTCCAACATAAAATTTTAGGCCAATTGGGGAGGCCAGACATGCTTGTATATGCCTCTAGTCCCAGCACTTGAGAAGTAAAGACAGAAAGATCAAGAGTTCAAGGCCAACCTCAACTACATAGTAAATTTGAGGACAGCCTGAGCTATATGCTCCCAAAGAAGTAGGGTAGTGAGTAGAAAGACCAAGCTTCATTTGGGGGTGATATTATAGTTCAGATATGAAGTAACATGCCCCCACAGGTTCGTGTGTTAGATGACTTGGTCCCCACTTGGCGATGGTTCCAAATGTTGTGAAACCTTTAGGAGGTGGAGCCTATCTGGAGGAAGTGAATTACCACAGGCGGCTCTCAGAGTTCATACCCACCCCCAGCCTGACCTGCTTTGCAAAATCAGAGCAGGCCATGCCCAAGCTCCCATCCTGCCCTCTCCCAGCATGGTGGACGACATCCCTGAACTTAAGCCGGGATAAGCATTTCCTGTGAGTTGTTCCTGCCATACATTCTGTCCCAATCACAAGAAAAGTAACTAGTGAAGACGCTTGGGCTTTGTTTCTTATCGCCTAGAAACAGGATTTTAAATGCTACTGAAAGATTATTCCAGTCAATATGACAGAGAGAAGATCACAAAGAAATTTCTCTAAAATAGATACCGAAAGGCATCGGGGATCCGTATTACTGCTCCCATGTGAGGCGCAGTTAAAATCCCTGGCTCTAGCTTCCATGAACTCTGACCGCAAGCCAGGCACGTGACCTTTCTAAAGCAATCTCCTGCTGCTCCCATAGTGCCTAGCACGAGGCTAACGTGAGGCCCTCCCTCTTATACACGAGGCTAACGTGAGGCCCTCCCTCTTATAGCTACAGTTACTGGGAAACAGCGAAGTCAGACTTCCTGTTTAAAAAGTGCTCCATGAAGCTCAAGTGTCGTCACGACCTGGGAGAGATCAGCCATGATTTCAAAAACTGTCATGTAGGGTTCTTTAAACTCAGTGGAAGCCCTATCTACTCAGTAAGCATGTTGTGGTCACATAACCTAATAATTGTCTTTATTTATAAATAATAGCATACAGTACTGCCCATAGTAGTACAAAGTATATTTTATAGACAGTAAAATGTGAAGGTTTGAGATATGAAGCAAAGTTTAAAACATCGAGAGCGGGGCTTGTGAGCCCCCTCAGTGGGTAGACTGCTTGCTGCGTAAGCCTGACACTCTGGAGTTCTGTCCCTGGAGCCACCTGAAGGTGGCAGCAGAGAGTGGGCATCACTGTAATAGCCCTGGACACGTGGGTGTTGAGGGTAGGAGTGTGGACCTTTGGAACTTGGAGCTGGAAAAGCCATTGTGTGGCCCGAACTTAATGGGCTTTTCTGTGGGCATTTGGGAGATAATGATGATGACAGAAAGGCTGCCAGCAGGGGCACACTCAGCCCCACTCTGTGGGCTCCGGGACAGGTTAAATGACAGTCACACATTAGTGGGCAGGATCCTCCTCACGCCATCAGCTGCACACCTCACACCAGTGCGGCCCTCTGTGCACTCAGCTCCAGAGTTCCTGGCCTTGCCCGTTAATCTTAACATTCATTTTACCTCACACAGCTGAGAACAAAACAGTTCTCCTCCGTGTTTGATGCTCAAGGACCATGGCCCACACCACCGAGACCTAGTAAATGTGTGGGAGGGAGAGTCTGCCGGGTCAACCTGATTTTCCTTGTGTTCACCAGGTGTCTCCAACACATCACCACCCAGTGGGCTCAGGAGAGCAGAGACAGCACGCCCACACGGTCCTGTCCTCCCCGCCCAGAGGGACAGTCAGCCTAAGGTATGGTTGCTTGACGCTACATACTTCACCTCAAAGGAGTTTCCTAGGAAACAGAAAAATAGCAGAAAGGAACCGAACTACGACCTTTTGTGAAATTTCTCCCCAGTCTGTGAAGCCTGCCTTCTTTCGTTCCCATGGTTCCCTGTCCAGTAACTAGTAAAGGGCACTTACAGTGTGTGGGACAGTAACGGCGGTCGCTGTCCTGCGTCCACCACTGTCCAACATAAACGACAATTTACAGTCTTCTTCTAGACCCAGGGGAGTCTCCAGGGAAGCCTCCAACCAGACTTCGGGACACTGGAAAGAAAGGCACACTGAAAATTTGGAAGAACAGTGCTGTTCTCTGCTGTTCTGTGTTTTATTTTTTATTTTTGTTGGTGGTTTTGTTTGTTTTGCAGGAGGGAGTATTTGGGGGGGGCACAAAATTGTGTGTGTGTGTGTGTGTGTGTGTGTGTGTGTGTGCAAGTGCACACGTAAGCTGGTACATGTGAGTATGGATGCGTACATGGTGCACCTAAGTGAGCAGAGGACAACTCAGGTGTTGGTTGGTCCTGTCCTTCCTTACTTGGACAGGGTCTCTCGTTCACCCACCGATATGCCAGGCAAGGTGGCCCAAGAGCTTGCCGGGACCTTCCTGTCTGCACCTCTCACCTTGCTGCTTATTGCTAGGGTTACAGACACATGCCGTCATGTCCAGCTCTGTATAGATTCTGGGGGTCCAGACTTACTCCTTGTGCTTGGACAGCAGATCCTCTCCCTAGACCCACCTCACTCCCCATTCCCCAGCACTTGTCTTCCTTATTCTTACAAAAATGGCCAGATGAACATTTCCGTGACTGAAACTTAGAAACTGCTTACGTACAGCAGCAGGGAACTACCCAGCCTCCAGAGAGCTCCTGCTGCGTTCTGGGCAGGTTTCTCGTTCTTCTGTTTGCCCCTGGTTCTTCTGAACTCTCCCCAGAAGGCCCTCCCACTTCCTGTCCCTGACCGTGGCCCTGCTGTCTGTCTTACAGGAAGCCTAGAGGCGAAGGCAAGAAGTGCCGCAAGGTTTATGGGATGGAGAACCGGGACATGTGGTGCACGGCCTGCCGCTGGAAGAAGGCCTGCCAGCGGTTCATCGACTGAGCCAGGAAGCAGGCTCCGCCCAGCCATTCCTGCCTCACCTGCCACTGCGGGTGCTGGGGAAAGCCTCTCCTTCCAAAGGAAGCCACTCAAGGCCCAGGGAAAGCCCTTCCTGGAGTTCCGGGAATATAATTCCTTGGTGGAATTAAAGCAAAAAAAAAAAAATCAGCACCTGCACTGCTCTGAGAACCCGAGCGAGAGTAGCCAGAATGACTTTTTCCTTCAGAAGAAAAGTCAACTTTGTACGCTCTCCATCTGGTCTTAAAACTGGACTTCTGTAGCAACTTAACCTACCAGGCCCATTTTACCTAGAAAGATTTTGATAAGCTTTCTGAATTGTGGTATTTTCAAGGGTTTTTGACACTTAAACAGTATGCCCATAAGCTATACAGTACACCCATAAGCTACACAATATTAGCTAGCATTTGTACAAAGGATAACCTACCTTGTGAATAGGCGTTTCCCTGTTTTCCATTCAAGTCCTTGGAGCAGTCCGAATCATGATGTATTTCAAGAAAGAGCTGCACTCTGGCTATCTTTTCTATATCTGTTTTGTTTTCAAGAAGGACCCCAAGAGGAACCGTTGTAAAGATGTTAGCTTGGAGGCCCCCAGTAGCATAAGGCCAAAAGTGACGGGCAGTGGGAATCACCAGTGGACTTCAGCTGCAAGCTGAGACCAGGATGCCGGGAGGCGCGGCAGAGAGTGCCTGGGAGTCGTCTTTGGGGCCCAGGTGGTGGCACAGCTTCTTCTCTGTCTGCCACTTCTCAGCTGAGGACTGGCACCGGGAGCCATCTGGTAAGGCTCGATGCTTCTTTCAGGGATGTCACACGAACTGCAGCTTTGTCTTGTCAAGACTGTGGCCAGGACCGTAGGTTGTCATCCTGCTCTCCAAACCCCACCCAGGTAGAAGTCTCCAGATGGGCCCCACAGCTTTGCTTCAAGCAGAGAACGGCTGACATGCCCCCATCTGGAGAAAATCCCACTAGGGCAACAAGCAAACTTCCACTCTGAGTGCACTTTTACAGATTTCATGCTTTACATGTCTAAAGATGAGTTGGTGACATAGTGACATTCATGGATAGTGGAGATCTAAACCTTTTCATTTCTTATAAAAAATACTGGAGCGATGAATTATGAATTCACTCAGAAAGTAACCTTTGGGATGCCTAAAGGAAAATGCATCTTGGTATAGGACTCTCTCCATTCAGTAGGGCCAGGGCTTGCACTGGGTTCCAGCTATTGGAATGTCTAAATTGGTGGACTTGCCTGGCTGGGGGGTGGAGCGTGGAGAGCGGCCACCAAGCCTCGTCTTTGTTGGAACGCTTGTTCTGTCTGCCCTCCTTAAAGAGCTGGCTGTCCTGTACCTATGCAAAGTAAGAGCACCTTATAGGAGGCACTGGGTAGGGATGGGAACGTGGTGTCAGCCATACGAATGTTAAGTGAAATTGCACAGAGGAAAGCTTAATATATCTTTAAAGATTGTACATAGTGCTTTTTTACGGAGTAGAGAGAAGTCATCTAGTACCAGAGACACCTCTTATTTTCTGTGAGGGGATATATGGAGGCTCTGCAGTGCCACACCCTTAATCTGTACAACCATGTATTTTGGCAATTTTATTTTTTGAATTCATGTGACTTTTAAAAAGATTATTCTTGAAAGAGGTCCTGATCTTTTCCTTCAGATATTTAAAAGAAAAAAACCCACTTATTTCAAGAGAAAAGAAAATGCGCTTTATCCGATTCCCCATAGGTTAATAGTCAACATCAGCCACACCGGCTCGCCTAGATGTTTTGACCTGCAACCAGGAAACAGCATTTTTTTTAAATGCAGAGCTAAGTTTCTTCCCTCTGGGCATGTCCTCTGTCATATCTCCTGTAGCTTCACTGCTGTGAAATGATGTCCTAGCTGGTCCAAGAGGCCTCGTGCCACACGGAGATTGTCATGGTCAGCTGTTGGATCACAGTCACCATGGGCTTAAATAAGAGATGAATCTTAGGCTACAGGTTTTCCTCCTCCGCAAAGTTCCCTGGAGTTTTGTTTTGTTTTGATTTTTAATCTCAGATGAACACTTTAATCAAAATACTACAGTGATGTGAAGTTAAACTCATCTTCTCTTGAAGAACTTTGGGATGAAAGATGCTCTCTGCATGAGAGCATTCCTTAAGCAAGACACTGTGGCTGTCTCCCCCAGAGACACAGCCCAAGGGTAGTTCTGCTTAACTGTGCACATTGTCAGCAAAATCACGAGACCGAATGCACCTGACCTGGATCCCTGATTTTTCCCTAAAGCCTTCATCATACCAGCTCTTCTGCATCTCCAGCCCAAGCACTGTGTCTTCTCGTCCAGCTTCCAGGTGCAGACAAATCCTGAGTCCAGTTCTGGACACATATGCCCATTCATTCCCCTTGTGGAAGGGCGAAATCTCCAGGGGACCAGAAAGCTCTGAGTTGCAGGTTGTAGGCGTTCCGTTTTGTTATGAGTTCCGGTTTTTAAGTAGTTACCTTGTTATCTGGGGAACCAAATGAAGTGCCAAATGAAGCCTGACTTTTCATTTGATGCCATCGCCATGAAACTAAGTTCTTTTTGTGTCTGCATTTTGTGGAGAAGCAAAGAAAGAAAGGATGAGAAGACTCTCAGGCGAGCTGGCCGCTGGCCTGAAGCTGTATGCATCCCCGGGGTAACGGCCCTGTCCGCAAAAGGCGTGGTTAGGCAATGAACCCTTTTCCAGTGGAAATGTCTGATTCTTTTTCTTCCTTGATGGCCCTTCCTCCAAAAAACAGTTTCTCATTTTTCCCAGAGAAGGCATTTCACAGTGACCGACAAGACATTCTCTCGCCAGCTACAAAGCAAAAGCGATGTGTGCAACAGGCAATAGTTTCCAGCCTTAGCCTTCCCAGAGGCTATTAGTGGACATTAGTTTGCAGAAGTCCGTGAGATGACGTGGAGCAAGTCCATCACGGAGGCAGTACAGGAGGCCTGAGCACACCTGCCTCCTGCTCATCTTCTTGGGGCTGGTCAGCCAGGGCTCCTCCTTGTCTGTTGCAGCTGTCTGGAACAAGTCAGGAGCTGCTTTGTCCAGGGCCTGTCATACAGGCCTACCTTTCTGCCACCTTATGTCTAGGAAGTTCCTTTCTCTGTGGAGTGGCAAAAGCCAGCGTCAGGAAGAAAGCAATGGGTTTCCAAACCAGAATAGACTTTATGGTGCCTGTTGGCAGCTCCGTGCTGAAGAGGTTCCCTTATGAGATGATCCCCTGCCTCCAGTGACTAAGCTGCACATGAACATTATCAGTAGAGAACAGCACTGATGACAGACGGCCCTTGGGCTTCCCAACCATCTCTTCAGAGATGGTCACGTGTATGTTGCAACAAATTTCCGAAACCGAATCGTTCCCCGTTGCTCTTCAAGATGACGTGAGTTGCCCTCTCTGGCCCTGGTTTATCACACTTGCACCAGAAGCCCCGGGCTCCAGGTGAGCCGGCCCTGTGGGAGGCCATTTCATCCCTCACGGCAACTGCACTGCAAGACGCGGGTGTCACGCCCTGGAGAAGGTTCCGAGAGAAGAGGGGAGAGCTGTCCACACAGGAGAATGTGTTGAGCAGAATGGCAGAACACTGTAAATATTACTCATTTCCTCAGGGAAACAGGAAGGAGGTGCAAAGACAGATCTGGAGAACCCCAAGACTAGGAGGAATTGTACTGTCTCAAGTCATTTCTTGTCAGAACGAGTTTGGTGTTTGTTTTTTTTTCCATGTAGACTCACTAGCATCATTTCAAGACAAATCCGTGTCAACGGGACAGTGTCAACTTCCGTGAGGCGTGGCAGGTGCACCCGCTGCATAACTGTCTTTCCGTCGCTGGCCTCAAGCTGACTGATGTTCGAGCCACAGGCGCAGCGCCTGCTGGGTATGTGTAGATGCGGTGAGGCTTTCTGTGAATGTAATTGTGAACAAGAAGCCTTGCTGTTGCTTGTTGTAATCCCCCGGTTTGGGCAACTGTTCATTAGCTGTACACAGCGTTCTCTAAGTGAAAGAAAGCTGTTCGAGACGTGTGCTTTGCCTTGTGGCATGTTTAGGAGCACACTGCCGTGGACTTTAGGGACCAGGTGCTGCTTTTTGTCACATCCTGTAGGGTTTCCACCCTCCACCTCGGCTGTAGCGTTGACCTGTGTGAACACATACAGAGGAGTGGTACCCAGGGGACCCGTCAATCTAACAGACATGATTGGGAGTGTGGGTCATTTTGGAGGCATGCTGGGCATACAAGTCAACTGGAAGGATTATTTCTGTAAGAAACCTACCAGCTGCACACAGGCTCCCCTGTTCCTCCTACCTGTGGGGATTTCTCCATGTTGCAATCATTTCATCCTGTCTTTTCTGCGTTGTAGAAATTTAGCCAAATGGGAAGTTAGTAAAATAGAATAAGGTTAGCACTTTTAGGTACCAGTTGTCCCAAGTAACGCACACCAACAGAGCAAGGAGGTATGAAATGCACTCAAGACTGACTTGCTTCTGATGACTGACTTGGAAAGGTCCATTTCCAATGACATACATACTTTAAAGAGTGTACCTATCACAGGACCAGGAATCAGAATGGAATTTTATCTCCTGTCCTGTTTTGTAAATAGCTCCTTTTTTTCTGAAGACAATCTCATGTTTTATAACTTTTGTTGTGTGGGTCTGGGAATCACAATTGTAATGTGTTATAGTAAATATAATCTTAAATACAATAATAATTACAACTTAAATTTCCAAATGAAAAAAAATCTACCGCTTAGGTGTCTACAAGAGACATGACACTTTTATAATAAGCATTAGTACTTCTCAAGTTTACCAGAACTGGAAATATTTTACAAGATACAGTGTTTTATAATCACAGAGAACATGAACTCTTTGTGGGAAATGACCTTGGTTTTATACATTGTAGCTTATTTTTTAAAATGCAGTATTTTAACCGACAGGAAGTGTTGATATGGTACACAGTTCCTGTTCACCAATCCAAGGGCTATGCCTCTTTTAAGCACGTGTTTTGATGTGTATCTTTTCGATTAACCCTCTGAGCAAGGGTAGAAATGCAGAACAGATAGAAAGGTTATTTGCAAGAGAATCTATGTAGCAGCAATTTCTCCCTTATCATGACCAGTGTGTTTTCAAAGCATCTGGAGGTGGGGCGGGGTCATGTGAAGATTTACTTTCTATATTTTAAACATAAGAAAAGTTGTTAGCAACTTCCAGGCCATGGAGGAAATATTCCTTTAGTGAAATGAATTCTCTTACAAGTTTTCCTGTTAGTCTATCGGAACTACATGCCTGCATTTAATGAACAAATATCATTTGGTTGGGAATGGCTAAAAATCATAGGATGTACACCCAAAGAACTTTCAGACAGTCAGCAGTGTTGGGGATAATTTTATTCTCACCACCAGCTGAATAATTTCCTTGTCAGAACAACGGCTTTGTTTGACTTTTGTCTGTCTGTCTTTCACTATGAGACACTCACAGGCACACAAGGTTGTGAGCAGAAAGTGACAGTATTCCCACGGGACAGGAGAAACAAACAGGGAGCTACACAAACAGCCGTGAGCTTCGCCAAGGCTATGTGAAGCTGTCCCGCATGCTCAAGCCCGCTGTCTGTCAGAGGCAGCGTCTTTCCCGCCCAAGTGTTCAGTGATTCATAAAGCTAGTCCAGTTTCGCTAAGGATGCGGACAGTATCAAAAGAGGAGCTGCTAGCGGACAGCTGTTGGGTAGCGCAGCAAGTGGTTGAATCTGTTCAGTGCGAGTTATAAAGGCATGGAGGGAGGGACCCCTTGTGCAGGCTCGGCGCCCAGTCTGTCCGTGCCACCCCCTTGGACTAGCGCCACGGTAGCACTTGCATGCCCACCTGGGGTCACTGCCATGTGGTTTGAACTGTGGTCATCTTGTTCTACCTGTGAACGGAAGCTTCTTTACAGAGGCTGCCAATTTGGATACTTTAGGATGGCCGGCGAGTCCTGTAGATGATCAGCACAGACCAGGACAAAGAAAGACACCAGGGAGCAGTGGAACTGGTGTTGGACTAGGCAGCTGACGTCTTCTGAGATGGAAGACCCACACTGAGCCCCACTCAGCTTCTGACAATCAGAACCCACAGACATCAGGCCAGGTTGCTAGGTCCCAATTGGAGACATGGCGTCACCTGACAATGAAGTGTTGAGAACCAACATACGTTCTTGGCCAGTACTGCAGACCAAAGAAAAGCCGGTGGGCGCAGAGGTATCCTGTGGCCAGAGTTCCAGCCATGGAAGTCAAGCCCACACTTCTAGGCTGCATGAGCACCATAGATGCACATGTGGGCACAATCTGAACAGTAGACATTTCAAACGGGGGAGAAGCTACTTCTCCCTAGAGATTATTCTCATGGAAGACAAAACAGAAATGTCCTATCCTTAGATTAGCCTTGCCCCTAATCAGAACATACCGAGGGGTTACCCAGCTCTGGCAAGAGCTGCCTCTTGGCATACCCAGGCCATCCCCCAAAGTGCTGAGTAGCTGTAATCCTGACTCTTACTGTGTCTGCTGCCGTGACCACTGTGATGAAGGGCTGACAAAACAGAGCAAAACAAAAAGCAGTCTTGTGCCTTTGCAGAAGGCAGCCAGGTGCCCCTGAGGTTTCCAGGTGACACACGGCGCCTCTTGTGCCAAAGCCCTCTGCCCTCTCTCCATGCTCCCCAGGTCATCCTTCTCCTCGCTCCACTGTAACAATTAAAAATAAAAATAAATATCTCACCTCTGACCTGGCAAGGTCCTCGCTTCAGAACTAATAGACACTTAGGTGTTTGGGGGTTTCCATTCACCTTAAAGGAAGTTTTTCCACATAGACAACCATAGCATCTTTGTCTGAGGGCAAAATCAAAGCGAGAATAACTATGTTATGGGGGCGGGGGGGAGGTGAACAGATTAAACTATTTCACCATTCTGAGTGACGACATTATTTTAAAGTCTACCTTATTTTGAAGTCCTGATGTTACAGGGACAGTTCTTATATGATAACGTGTGTCTCATTCAGACGTTATTTCCTTTGCTCTTCATAAGAACCTAGTGTAGAGAACAAAGGTCACTCTCCCACATTCCGAGGCCAGCCAGAGTAGTCTTGAACCCGTGAGTCAGCACCATTATTGCCTGCAAAGAGGGAGGAAGGGGCTGGCTTGGCTGTCTTCCACAGTGACTCAAGAGCCCCGCCATGTTCTCCATCCAGAAGTAAAGAACACACTCATTTCTAAGGGCAAATTTAATCATCCCAAATGTGTCCCCTTACTACATCTACCATGCTGATCCCCAAGTTCCATCCAGCTAAATGGTAAAGTGTAGGAATTTATTAGCTAAAGCAATATTCTAAATAAAAATTTTGACTCCTTGGGGGGAAAGAATTTGCTGCTGGTGTCTAGGTTTTCGGGCTCTGTAAGTTTAAATGTGAAGGCAGCTAAACGATGCTGACAAAGGTTGAGATTGTGTCCATTGGGAATGATTAAAAGGCTGTCCAGTATATGAGTGCATTCATCCAAGGCTTTCGGTGTGCCGGGCTGAGCATCCTGAGTTCAGAGTAAAGCTCATAAGGAATCATGTCATAGGACTAGAAGGAAGCCCCGAGAACTCTATTGGCCTGTAACCTCATTCATTAGCAGGTTTTTAAAAATTATTATTATTAACAATGTTATTGTGTTTTAAGTAATTTGGTGCTGGGAGGCAGCGTGGTTTGGCCCTTTTCTACCCTGACAGAGAGGCAGCCCTTGCATAGCTCTGGCTGGTGCTCCATGGGCAGTACGTAGAAAGAGCCCAGTGCTAGCCAACAAGTTCAAAGCGAGTAACTAGAATTTGATGTCAGCTTCAGAATTAAATCGTTTTTTGAATGTTCGTTCTCCATGGGCATTATCATAGAATTGTGAGCCTTTGAAGAGAGCACCCCCTTTATGCTACAAGACCACTAGAAATCGATCCTTGAGGCTGATGACTATACTTGCTTATGAGGATCAATTCCCCCCCCCCAAAATTTTAATTCAGAAAATTAGCCAAAGTAGAACATGGCGACCCCTGAAAACAATAAGAGAGCTATCATCAAGGAAGGAAACAGTTGCAGATAAAAGAGGACCTCCTGTTTTCTGCTGTATGTCCCTCTGTCCCTATCTGAAGAGGGAAGCCAACACTTGAGAAGACAGAACTTGGCGAGTCGGACAGAAGAGTCCCCATCTAATTACTATTTCCATCTTGGCAGCAGTATGTAGATCGTCTGGTAGACTTCCGTTCCTTTTTTAAGGTCCTCAGCTCCCCAACCCAGAGGACAGAGGGTCGTCTCGGTTCAATCCCACAGCCAGGGATGAGGCGTTCCTGTTCATTGGCTGCTTATTGGATGCTTTCTCTGAGGCCCGGGTCCCAGGGCCTGGATGCTTACCTGTCTTGCTCATCTTGCTCAGTGAGCGGCTACCCTCATCCTGCAGGGCCAGTGCTCGGTCCCTGTCTGAGGAGGTGCGGTCTCCTGATTGTGAGGAGAGGGTCTCCCTCAGCACCATCCTGCTGCGCTGAGCACAGAAGATGAGTTTCAGACTCACTGAGAGGGGTAGCTGCCACCCCCTTCCCTGTGCCTCGGGGCCCTCCTTCCAGCCAGCTGCCAGAGCTAAGTGCAAGCCGGACAAAGGGTGCTGGCCTCTGTGTCGGCGTGGAGGGCTGCAGCCAACCAGGAGGATTCATACTAAATCCTCCCAGGCTCTGGCTTCTGCCAGAGCCTTGCAGAGTGCAAGAATGGGATTGGCCTTCCCCGTGTGATGAAGGAGTGCCCTCGGTGTGTAATTGGTCCTGTTTGGTATAGCCGGAAAGCAAAAACCACTTCAGTCTGTACACCTTGGTAAACAGTCATTCCTCACCCCAGGGTAGCCCCATCCCTTATTCCGGGCATGGGTAACAAGACAGACAGGAAAAGGGGCACCCTAAGGGCTTGTGGTGTGCTTGGGCTTGAGTTATCCTTTGGGGATCCATCCCCAAATGGGGAAGGAATGCCTAACGTGACAGATTACAGTCTGAGGGATTTTTTTAGGCCCTTTCTTTGTATTCTTATTGGAAGTCAGTGGCTGTGACATGACATGATCGATCCCCAGTGTCCCAACTGGGGAAACATCACTGGGAGAAAGCTTCAGGTGAAATCTAGATATCTCAGAAGCACGTGGTACCTCCCAACGCATACTGCTTCCATGGCTTCCATGACTTCCATAACTAAAAATACCCCGGGTATAAAAATGAGTTAGGCCTGTGGATCATATAGTATAAAAGTACGATTACTCCGTATTTTCCTACAGTGCACCCTAAAATTCCTATTTTTGTAATTAATGGTTAGACTGTGGCCAGCCACTTAAACACTCTATGGATCAACTACTCTACCCTAGTATAGTTTCCAAAATACTTCATAGCAAAGCCCTATGTGCATGGAGGAACTCAGGGTAAGACAATACTAGCTGGGTCCCAAAGGGTTCAAGATTATCATCAAAAGCAAATGCCAGGTGGCCTGCGGCCATGGCTGACAAACGAGGGGACTGAGAGAGAGGAATATTAGCTGCAGGTCCTCTGTTGCCCTTAGTGGTGGGGCTTACGCAGACTCTGCTGTTAAAGGTAAGCCATCTTTTAAATTGTTTTCGACACCAAATCTAAAATGTCAACAATAGAAAAAGTTACCGAATATTTAAAATGGGGTAGTCAGTGGAAGTGCTGTCTGTAGGAAGCATGGTGTCTGAGAAAAACCAACAGAAGCCAAACCGAAGCCCAGGGAGTGGTCCTCTGGGGGCCCGGCGTTAGGAGGCAGCTGCGAGCACACACAGGCACTGATTGAAGGTGCTGCGGCCATGCCGTCCGGCATCTGTAGAGGTCTTTTGAGGGACAATCTTGCCATCATTTCAGGGGTAAGTACTTCCTTACAAAGTCTTTAATAATGAATGAATGTATAAAATTATAAACTATGCATTTTCAAAGAGAAACATGTATTTTATAGCAAATCCAAGTACTTTTTTTTCATAGAGACTTATTACAACTACAGATTATTCAAAATAAATGAGAATACAAATCCTCATAAGGGTGTGGGGTGCCTTTGTTTTTCTGTCCAATGGTTTCAAGACAGTGCATCCAGACTTTCACCTGAAACTCTGGGCTCAAAAAACAACAACAAAAAACAAAACAAAAAAAAAGCTAGCCAGTACAGTGGATGAGGATACACCTTCTGCCTGAGAGGGGACCACTCAGAAATGGTGCCCAGTTCTTAGAGACAGATGCTTTAGTCACACTGGATCAATAGGTTAATAGGGCCAGGGATGTGGCTCAGAGTTAGAGCACTGGCCTGGCATGTGTTCAGTCCCCAGCACTGGGAAATAATCTCAAGAAGCAGGCAGACAAAACTGTAGGAAGTTAACATTGCCTTGGCTAAAGGTGGCTCGGGTCTGTTGTGGTTAATTCTCCAACCAGGGGGTGAGGAGCGTTCTTTAAAGAGTTTAGGTTAGAGTTGCAAAGAACAAAATATAAAAATATTATCTGACAAGGCAAATAGTCATTTTTTTTTCAAAATTACATGGAGATGGTGGTTTATATTTTGAAAAATTTGTATAGAATATACCTGGGTTTCTTCAGCCTCCTGCTGATAGGCGCGTTCACCAAACCTTCCCACTAATGATTGGTCTTGCCCCCTCCAGTGCTAACTCCATCCCTCAGCATCCTTCCCTCCTCCATCCCTCAGCATCCTTCCCTCCAGCTGGCAGTGAGGAAATGCACTCCATTTCTCTGCTGTTCCGGATCTCCTCTGTGTCTGTTGAGGTTTCTTGGCTGTTTGTAAAATACGGGAAAACCCGCTTCTAAACCCTGTACTTAAGGCCATTCTGGACATGTCTGCTACCTAATTAGAAGTTAGTGGGGGAGGGGCGATGTGTCTTTTTATATGATTTTTAGCCAAATCCAGATGTTCTGATACTCCATTTCTGATACTTTTCTGACTGTAAATACCACCTGCAGAGGTTCAGGTGGAGAAACCTTTTCTGAGACTGTTCCTCAGCCATGCTCCTTACCAGCTTTTGGCACACTGTACATAGATTTGTCAAATGTTCCAATGATGTTGTTTTTCTAAATACTGTTCTCTAACACATTTTTTTATTTTTTTTCTTTGTTGTTCTGGACTTTGTGTTAGTTTTACAAAATGTTTCCTAAGATTTAACACCAGGAAAAAAATATTTTAAAATAAACTGGTGCTAATTGGAAAAGAAGAAAATTTTCAGCTTCAAGATTTACAAAATAAAATGTTCACACCAGTTAAACTGCACTTTCCCAAGGGGATGGCTGCTGTCCACTTACAATGGGCATCAAGAGGATCAGCAGATGTTTACAGTATCCATGGCCCATTTACGTGTAACACAGCAAGGATCCCGGCCCCCCAGAGAGGAGGATTTGCTGGGCAGTCCTCAAAGCATGTAGTAGAAGGGAAGGAGTAGTCTAAGAACCCTTTAGAAATAGTCTTCTGGTCTTTGGACTTTCATGTTCTGTAATGCTTAGCTGTAACAATGAATATGGTGTTGCCAATCTCGTCTGACGTTATCGTCAACCTGTACTGACTCTGTGTATGGTTCTTCCCTTGGCTCGCACTGGCACAAACCAAGCCAGAATACAGGTCTTTTGGGAAGACCCTTCTGATTTCTATGGTGTCCACACACATGAATTTAGATGCACTTGTAACTGGTTAATGACCATGAAGTCAGTCTAACTTCCACTGAATAAAAATTTTTGTGTATCTGCTTCTATTTGGGAGCCATTTATTTCTGTAAGGTTTAACATTTATATTCAGAGCTGTCAGCATACTGGTTGCTTGTTGGATACTGTGGCAGGACATCTGAAAACCGTGAGGGAGGAAGGGGTTTGGGGCTCATGGTTTATGGGGCTGTAATCCATCATGGTAGGGGGGCATGGAGGCTACAGTTTCATGTCCATGACAACCAAAATGTGCAACACAGCCAGTTACATCTTGGTAGACCAGAAGTCAGATCCTCCAGTCAGAAGCAGTCTGTTTTAGCCAGTCTCCTGAAACCAGAGACCCAGTGCCTCCAGCTAGGTCCAATCTCCTCCCCAAATCTAGCTTCCCAAAACAGGCCACCAGCTAAGGACTCGGTGTTTAACCACATGAGCCTGTGAAGCACATCCAAACTCAATAGAAGGTTTGGAATTTAGCCTAGAGTTGTAAAAAACCATTGAAAAGCAAAGATGTACCTTCATTATATCAACTGTTTGCCATCAGGGCCGTTCCCATGCTCAGCCCTGCTGCCTACATCTTGAACGATTGCCCAGACTGACAGCTGCTCACCTGTTTCTCACCCTCTGGTAAGAAAACCGTGCCCATGGTCCATCCTGGTGCTAAGCCAGCCAGCTTTCCACTGGACAGATTTCTGGTCCACTAGAACTGACTATGTCCACCTCCGAAGCCAGACACACACACATGCAGCAATGGATGGGCTTTGGATTTCTGGTCCACTAGAACTGACGATGTCCACCTCCGAAGCCAGACACACACACATGCAGCAATGGATGGGCTTTGGAGGCCAGTTTGCCCAGAGATGTGAGTTTTGCCTATGGCTAAATGGACTATTGGAATATTTAATACCTAAATTTTCAAGTATTATGATGATCATAAAGTTGATGAGCCGGGCTTAAGCAATAGCTCTTTCTGGTCCAGTCAGCTTTGGTGAGTGAGGAATTTGACTCCTAACCTACTCCAGGGCTGAGAACAGTTCTTCCACAACTGTTCCTGGACATCTGACTTAGTGCATGTGCTTTAGCCATGGAGGAGGGTAAAAGGAGGATGTCCTGAAACACCACCTGTCCAGGTACACATCCCCAGATGGAAGCCAAAATGCTCTGCCGTACAGAGCCCTCTGAGACTCAGGATGACCTGATTCAAATATCAGTTCATGTTCTCATGACCAAAAAGCAAGTTGGGGAGGAAAGGGTTTGTTTGGCTTACACTTCAGCATTGCTGTTCATCGCTGAAGGAAGTCAGGACAGGAACTCAAACAGGGCAGGATCCCAGAGGCAGGAGCTGATGCAGAGGCTATGAAGGGGTGCTGCTTACTGGCTTGTTTCCCATGGCTTGCTCAGCCTGCTTTCTTATAGAACCCAGAGCCACCAGCCCTGGGATGGCACCACCCACCATGGGCTGGACTCTTCCCCCATGCATCACTAATTGAGAAAATGTCTTACAGCGGGATCTCATGGAGGCATTTCCTCAACTGAGGCTCCTTCTTGATGACTGGCTTATGTCAAGTTGACACACAGAGCCAGCCCAGTTCAGATGCCTGTTGTTTGCCCCAGCCCAGTCAACCCCAACTCACAGAGCCTCCATGATTGCCCGGTCTTCGGCACAGGGGCCCCTGGATGTGATGATTTTTCCTGTCAGGTGCAGGAGATGTGACTGAAGTTGCTCTCGTCTTCCCCGTTGCCAGGCAACAGGGCTGGGTACCTTTTCACCACAGCTCTATGGAACCATGGTGGGACCTCCCATCAGGAGCTTTACTACTATGATTTCAGTTGGTGGAGGTCAGTTAGCATTGTTGTGGTTTCATAATGGTCCTTAAAATGACCCTGAGGTCAATAGTAGCCTAAGAGTCTATCACAGTGCCTGTGGCATGTACTTCCATCTCCTGTGAGTGGTTTATCATTCCACAGCACAAGGAGGAGGCTGGTAAGAGATCTTGAGAGGGGCTGGAGAGCTGGCTCAGTGCTTAAGAGCACTTGCTGCTCTTCTAGAGGACCTGGGTTTGATTCCCAGGGCCCAAGTCAGGCTACTGACAACTGCCTCACTAGAGCCCTAGGGAATCCGACACCCTCTTCTGGACATCCGCACTCACATGCTCCCACACACAGATCTACACCTAATTAAAAATAAAATCTTTTTAAAAAGACATTTACATAGAAATTACAGTATGTCATGGTAATTGTTCTATTATCACATAGCACTTAATCTCTAAGACTTCGTCAGAGGTGTAGAGGAAGCGGCATGTGTACAGTGCATAGGGTTTACCTCTATCCAACCAGAGAGCAAATGAGTCATCTCTTATCTGAGTCATATCCACGAAGGTTAATTAAATAGTTCAAATCCACAGAGCCCGGGTATTGGGGTTCTATCCCTGAGTTCACCCAATGATCGATCATTCTGTGCTTTTAGGGCCCATTTCTGTAAGAGCCACTGTGAGTCACATACAGACCTGCATACTGAGTTTCTGCTGCTTTTGAAGCTGGTCTGGGCTACACTGCACTCCATTCTTGCTTCCCACCTTCACCAAGGCCTTCCCCTCTTTCTTGTTCATTCTCATCTTCTCTGCTCCTGTTACACACACACACACACACACACACACAAATCCACCGCAAGGACAGCTTGGTGCTACATTCATAGCAGACTAGAGGCTTTTTGTTCTAACCCATACCATATCCGCCAGGCCCAGGTATAATGCAAGCTCTCCTTAGGCAGTTCCTGGACATTTGACTTGGTGCCTATGATTTAGTCAAAGAGGATAGACAAGAACATCAGTGTCAGCGAGCAGTACTCAAACTGCCTATGTGTATCCTCCAGGGACCTCCCGGGGCTCCACGGATGCTCTCCTGGACAGACAGCAGCTGCAGGAGGCTGAGAAGCCTTAATGTGCCAGGAAGAGGAAAAGCCAGGGAAAGTCCTAGGCCACAAATACTAGCCTACAAAGCAGTGTGAAATTGTGTACATCTAGCCCCTTATAGCCAGGGGTCCTGCACAAGAATTCAACCAAGGACAGGTTGTAAATATCTGGAACAAGGGAATACTTGGGGTACTGAGCATGTATAGATAAAAATCTTGTTATTACTCTAAACAGAATAACAGGAATTCAGATAGCATCTGCATTAGATAGTAAATAATTCTGAGATGTTTTGAAGTGTTCCAGGAGATGTGTGTGGGCCATATGCAAATACTACATCATTTCATAGAATGGACTTTGAGGATCTGGGTGTCCGAGGAATCCTAGAACCAGCTTCCCATGGATCCAGAGAACAGTTGTACATGCTGTCTCAAGGGCACTGCAGGGAACTCCTGGGGATGTAACAAATTCCTCCAAGGCCAAATGTAAAGCTCCTGAGCTTCAAAAAGTCCCACCCAAGAACTTCCTCAAGGAGGCAGGCTGACTCCTGCTCACTGTGGCCACCATCTGCAGTACATTACTAAATGATCAACACATTTCTAAATGAATAAGCATGCTGATCAGACAGACGCGCTCTGCTTTCAACCTATCATTGCCTGGCCCAAGCCAAAAGCAAAGAAGTGGACATGTCAAAGACTGACACAGGCATCTCCTACCTCAGGACTTTGAATGTTCTTTCAAATAAATCCATTCTCAGAATTGCCAACTCCAAATGACTGTATTGGTTACATAACAACTGCCCAACACAAGAGACAAAATGTAGAATTACACACACCGTTTTTATGTAGAAATGCCTTGCACATAGCAAGAATTCAATAAATAAGTGGGAAAAAAAAACCTAATGCGTCTAAATGAAATAAATTGCAGCATAGGTCTATGCTATTAAAAACACACAAAGTAAATGGAATGAGGTCATGAGAAAAATTGTGTCATTAACACACTGGAGCGGCTAGGCTGGCATTAAGATCTAACACTTTCAAGAGTGGGGTCTGGGTGTTCCAGAGAATGCTCCTCTGGTTTCATCTTTTAATTCTAGGCAAGTATTACCTAGCCAACAGAAAACAGCACCCGAGAAACCAACAGTATCGCAGACGGGGGCACAAGGGGACAAACGGAGTTGGTCACAGTGAATGCCCTCTGTGAGAGGGGTGACATCTGCTGCTCTAAGGAGCACAGATAGCTCTTCAGGCATCAAGACACTGGCCTAGCGGCTGACCCCTGAGTCTGGTCCCCTGAAGGATGGCACACTCTGGGAAACCTGAAAAGAACCAGCTGTTCTCACACTCGCCTCAAACCCCATGTCAAATCCTTCACGCAGCCCACGGTCAGCAGGTCTGTCACTGCCCCTTTTGATGTCACCACAGAGCCTGCTGGTGAACAGTCTGTTCCTTTCTTTGGCTGGCTGCACTGTCATGCCAAGATCATCACAGGAAAATATCCCAAGTCAGATACTGCAGTATAGCTCATGGCTGGCCTTCTAGCAATGGCTTGGATTCCAGTTCAGAGGAACGTTTGCTGTGCATTCTTGCCATAAACGCTGCTCTGAGCCACCTCTACACCAGCAGAGCACAAGGCCATGGGACAGGGAGCAAAAAAAATCTGCTAATGGGGCCAGGCTGGTGGCACACGTCTTTAATCCCAGCACTTGGGAGGGCGAGACAGGAGGATCTCTTGAGTTTGAGGCCAGCCTGGGCTACACAGTGAGTTCTGGAAGCTACACAGGGAAAGCCTGTCTTGAGAGCCAATAATAATAACAATAATAATAAATTGCCAGTGGTGGCAGTGAGTGGTTCCATTCTCGTTTTCACCTTGTGGTTTCTAAGCCTATGAATCCTGGCTACAGGGGAAAAACAACAACAACAACAAAAACCATGTTTATATTGGACACTAATTCAGAGCATGTACTGCCTTCTGCAGAGCCCTGTCCAATCTGCCCCAAGGCTATTGCCACCTAGTTGGCATAGAAACTACATTATAAAGAGGTCGTTCCACTGTCCTGTCAAACCAGCTGCTTCAGGGTGGTGGGAACATGGTGAGACCAGTGAATCCCATGAGCACGCGCTCACCGCTGTGCTTATTCAGCT